AGGAACACGTGACATTTTTCGTTTGGCACATTGTAATAACTATTGGATCAACTGACCTATAATGCAATTTTGTTAAAATTCTGCATGAATATATGGATACATATATTGTAGCGTGTAGAGACGTTTGTAAGCAAGTACTGTAGGAAACTGTGTTTCCTGCTGCGGTCTATTCCGAAGTGGTTTAAGCGAGACAAATTAAAGCTTGGTTAGTTGGAAGGGAGCTATCATTCATAGAGGACATGAGCGCAGAAGCTGAAAAATCTCCACTGTTAGAAGCCGTCACTAGGAAACGTTTAGTAACAGACTGATAACACTAGAGTGCTAACACAAGACATAGCAGGATTGTGGAATGGTGTGATATTATAATTTTGAAAGATACTCATTTTTATTCAAAGGTTTCTTGGAAACGAAAAGTAACAGAACGATAACGTCATAACCGTAGCTTCGTTATTCGAGTTAGTAAATTGTAACTGGTGAATACGAAATCTACAATGTTTAATACGTCACAAACACTTCTGAAATCTTTCTATGAAGATCTGTATGCTTATTGAAGTTCTCACAAGTGAACGGAACAATACTTTATGATTACGTTTGGCGTTTATATGCTACTGTGAGTCTTATTGCAAGCTATTCTTTGCTGATGTACTATTCTATAACTTAAGTATTTGATGCCCCGACAGCCTTCCAAAACATATCACCTTCGTAAAGTTCTCCCTGTGCTTAACCAATTAAGCACTACACCATGAAGAGTGGAGTGGATGTATAAACCCACGTTTTCTTGACCACGGCACTAGTTGGAGGTGAGTGGTCAGCTTCACGTCCCAACCGCTTTACCCCCGCGGAAAGAGCCCCCATCACCCAGTGGATAAGAGACTGGGTGGGCCTCAGGGTCAGCCTGGACTCGAACACTGACACATTGGTCGTCAAGCCCGTAGCTAGTCGCTCCTCATATCCCCCTCATACCAGAGTACAGTGGCACTGAACTGCATTATGATCTGTCCGGTTACATGGCTCATCTGCATGGATCGCAGTGACGCTGTTTCGCTGTTTCCGTTCATCTACTTCCGGAAAAGCGTCCCATGTTACCGGTACTGACAGCGTAGTATCCCCGTACGTGCTCTCTTGTAGCTGTGAATGCATCTCGCCAAGAGATGTAGCTGAAATCGATTATTCTCGGTGCTGTGGTACTCGACTTTATTGTCCAATATTTGTAATTCTTCCCGTTAGCTGATCTAAGCCCATTGAAGGCTGTTCTCTTTCTGCACATGACAGTTCATTCCGTGAGGTTCTGAGGATTTTTGTCTCTCAATGGCTCTACAGCCCTTTGGACTTTGGCCGCTTTTTTGTTTTCTTAACCCTATACACGATTGGTAGGACTCATCGGACAGGGAATCAGCCCGTCGCAAGGCCACTACGAAAGACAAACACAGAATAAACCCAGACATCCATGGCTTGAGTGCGATTCGAACCCATGATCCCAGTGTTCGAGCGGGCGAAGACGACGCCGTCACTGTGACCGGCTCTGACGTATTTACAGCTGTGATTATTCGGATTTTAGTCCTTAGATTGTTATACCATTTAATTTATAGGCGGTTACCGACGTTTCCTAAGAACCTGCTATCTCCCTCTTCAGATATAACGTATGTAGGCTCAGGAATTTGCTCGGTTGTATAGACAGATTGTCGGAAAGGTCCTCGTGAGACCCAAGGGACCGGTAAGAAAGAGTTCGACCCAGGTCTGTGGAAGGGACGGTGGGAAAATAGGAGCACACTGGATTTTCTTCACAGATGCGAAATGAAGTCCTGGAAAGGGACGGTCCTTCCAAGGCATACAATTTTGTTTTCATGGAGAAAACTTTAATTGTCAGAAAACAGTTGAAAATGGCGGCCCTTTTCAGGTCCTGTATAACTGTACCCATAAGAAGTAAGTAAGGAACGACACAACGAGATGGAGAAGTGTCTAGGAGTGGTGACTAATTATTCCTCAGGAAGCTTCTTGCAGGAAGCAGACCAGGAGCCTCGACGATCTACTGAGGTAGAGCCAGTCCACTCTCTTCTCTTGTCAGTGTGGAGCCCGACCTCCGTCACTCCCATATGAACCAGCCCGCCCGCCTTTACTTCTTGTCTTTGATACCGGCGTTGTTCAATAGTAAAGCTGAAAATCTGTTGGAACTGATCATCCCAACAGTTGTTTCGGAGTTGTAAAAATGACATTCACCAAGCGGGATTCCGTTTCGGTAAAGCTGTGTATTCGTATTCGGCAGGTGCTTGGTTCGAGTCTTGGTAGAACACCGGGCAATTGATGTTCTTCGCGGTTTTCCTCGGTCGCTCTAGACAAATGCCAAATAAGTACTTTAAGCTACGATCGCTTCCTTCCAAATCCTTTCCAGTTCACTATTCACAAATCACCCTACCATTCGACGCTACATAGTTTGGTATAGAGAGTGTACCTTAACGTGAACCATACAAAATCACAGCTTGATCTCGGGAACCCTTCCAGGGATTGAAAGGGACAGCTGGAGTAGCCCCACGGAATATATGTTCATACACACGAGTAAACAATAGGTGTACTATTGGAATTTAGATATTTGATTTTAATAGCAGTGTCAGGAAGTAAAACTAAAACAACTCACACATCAAGGGCAGAGATTGGGTTTGCGAGTGTGCGAGGAATAGTTTCATGTAAAACCGTATTATTTTTCAGTGGCTCTACAGCCCCCTTGGGCCCTGGCCTCTGATTTTCAGTTTCATTATCATTTTACAGACGGTAGAACTCCATGGACCGGTGATCAGCTCGTCGCAAGGCCTCTACCTAAACTCAAGATAACACAATCACAGAATGAACGCATACACATACCAAACATCCATCCATGCCTTGTGTGAGGTTCTAAACAATGATCCCGCTTTCCGAGCGAGCGAAGACAGTACATGCCTTTTCTTTATTGCTAGTGGGGTGGGACTAACTTCCTTGTACTGCGGCCACTTCTGGCCTATTGTACCAGCCCCAGATGATAGGTGAGGGTGATTGTGGAGCAATTGGTGGAATGAAGATTGGCAGGGGAAAGCGCAGTACTCGGAGAGAACCTGCCCCAGCGCCACTTTTTTTTTTCTTGGCACTACAGCCCCAGTGGGCCTAGGCCTACCTCCATGAACTCCGTTCACTTTGATTTTTCTCGATGTTACACATACGGTAGGACTCCTTGGGCGAGTGATCAGCTCGTCGCGAGGCCTCTACCTGTAGACAAACACAGAAAAACGCACACAAACATCCATGCCCTGAGTGGGATTCGAACCCACGATCCCGGCTTCCGAGCGAGCGAGGACAGTGCATGCCTTAGACCGCTCGGCTACCGTGACCGGCCCCAGCGCCACTTTGTCCACCACAAATCCCACTTGACCAGGCCCGGGAACGAACCCGGGCCGCCGCGGTAGAAAACCAGTGACTAACCGCTTGAGCTATGGTGCGGCCACAGTACATGCCTTAGACCTATCGGCTACCGTGACCGGCCAACTGTATTTTAGTCTGCCCAAATGTTAAGGTGGGCCTTGGGTTTTGAACTTTATGTGTGTATAACCGCGGGTCTGTTGTATCTCATTAGGAACTTTGTGTTGGTTTATGTGTAGTTCGAGCTAATTAATCATTGAGTACGTTTAACTTTTAAAGAATATTAGCATTCCCCCGAAATAGCAGTACTAAAACACTGTGTTTCTGACACATGGTGAGAGCATTTGACATCAGTTGTACTAGCTAATTTCCTACAGTGGCAGTGAAAGTCTCGAAATGAGTCCAACCCAGCATCATCGCTCCTAATTTATGTGTTGGTATCTCTAAGATAAGGCCAATCACAGCGGTACTGTCCTCGCTTGCTTGGCAGCTGGAATCGTGGGTTCGAATCCTACACAAGACATGGATGTCTGTGTGTGTTTATTCTGTGTGTAGGTAGCGGCATTGCGACGAGCTGATCCCCGTCCAAAGGGTCTTATCGCCTGTGTATAGGATTAAGAAACTGAAAAAGCGGCCAGGGTGCAACAAAGGACTGTAGAGGTTTACATAGATATCTCTAAGCGAATGCTTCCTGTACGTAACAATACCACTCTTAGCAGTAGTCATTCATCACAAAGCTGTTGCCGCAAAAAGGGATTGCATGAGACCGCAACTTTGCACACCTGAGACTGAGATTCTCCTCCCTTAAAAATAAAATATTGCACAAAAAAGGTAAAAGTAACCCTGTAACAGGCTTTGGAGGCCCATAGGGTTGTGAGACATCGAGGTTCCCACATTTTCTACACAATCGGCTCGCAGATGGCGGCAAGGTTGTCCGCCTTACGCGCCGGCAGCCCTTTACCCCCAGGAAGATTCCTGGTACTCGTTTTTGTTAGAGGCTGAGTCGACCCCAGGGCCATAGTGCGCCTGGAAGGATTAGGGCAATTGGAAATTCCCGTGACCTCATCGGGCGTAGAACACGCGACTTTCCGGTTTGTAGCATAGTGCCTCAACCAACTACGCTACCGCGTGCCACCCTACAGAGGCAGTGGCCTTAAACAATTTTTCAGCCCCTGTCTTTGTATTCATTCAGAAAATACAAGTATCTCAGTTTAAATGGTCTTTTTCCTTTAATTCGCTTAGCGAGGGGTGGAGTCCAACTGGGTCCACTCGGCACGGTGGCCACTGATTGGCCTATTGTAGCCTGCCCCGGGTGATTATGATGATTGAGAATTTGATGGAATGAAGATTGGCAGGGGAAACCGAAGTACTCGGAGAAATCCTACACCAGCGCCACTTTGTCCACCACAAATCCCACTTGACTAGACCCGGGATCGAACGCGGGCCGCCGCGGTGGGAAGCCAGAGACTAACAGATTGAGCTATGGCACGGCCTTAAACAGTCATAGCGGAATCTATTTTTTTTTACTACGGTTCTTGCAATATAAGGTAAATTTTAAAGAATTTCTAAGTATTTGTAGACGGTATGTATGTAGAACGCAAAGTTCTTGTTTTCAGGTATCGTACGCCCGGCCTAGCAGCGAAGCTATCAAAGGTGCGAACCTGTACGTCAGTGGACTGCCGAAAAACATGACCCAACAAGATCTTGAGAATCTCTTCAGCCCGTATGGGCGCATTATCACTTCGCGGATTCTCTGCGACAACATTACTGGTAAGCTCACATCTGTCTGCATTTGTTGCTTGCAGTTATGCGTCTTGCTCATCATGCAGTTGTACATTTTAAAACCCAAAGGCACTGTACTCGTATGTATTTATCTGTGTACCTTTGTGACCCTTCCTTAATCTGATCTAATAATGTCGAATCTTTTTTAAAGAAAGTCAGACATTAAGTATACCAGATTAAATGAACAAGGGTTGTTTCATAACTCACAAAAAATAATAAGTTATTACTTTGCAAAGTACCACAACGTGAAGAATATCGTCGTCTGGGATTCGGCACCATGAAGATCTTGTGTGGACCGACGTTTCGGAGGAACGTATCACCTCCATCTTCAGGTTAGAAAAATCTGCGAGCGAGAAACCAGCGTTTACAGTGGCTGCAGACTGAGTCTAATGTTTCCTTGCTCGCGGAGTTTTGATTCATGATGATGGAGGTGATATATAACTCCGAAACCTCGGTTCATACAAGGACTATACGGTGCCACCTCTTTGAACTCTTTGAAGTCCTCAAATCTTATAACGTACCATAACGTATTTACCAACTGGGAGAAACTTTCAGTGAGTAACTTGCTCGCTGAAATGTGTCTGCGTGTATATGTCGGTATATTTGTGTGAATATACAACTTTGAAATATTCTTATATTATTGTTACAAATTACCCATAATTAAAACCTTTACTTCAAGAAATATATGTGGTATGATTTGTTTCTTCCCTTTGTGTGTTTACATACTGAACAAAAATGTTACTGAAGGAGTGTTTGTGTTACTGAACGTCAAATTTACCTTATGTTCACCTTTGTCAAATTTATATGGGGTAAGAATTATATTATGTATGGCAATTCAGGAAACCGGACAAGATAACCGTCAGAATTGGAAAATATAAGAGACCAAAATCTTTTAACTTATAATTAAGCCTGAGATTTAAGGTGTCAGGTCTGTTGTACTTGATGGAATGGTTGTGAGATGCAATAAGCAGGCGCACATAGAATTTTATGAAGTGAAAATTTCGTTATTAAGTATTTCTGTTTAAGCATATTGAAATGTTTCTAAATCCCAGAATTAGATATTAACGTCTCTCCTTTCATTCGATAATAAATTTTAGTATTCAGAACTCTTAACTCTAAATTGAATGCTGAAGGAAATTTATAAGTCTTGTTCTTTCAATACAGAAGTTTATTCATTTCTAATTCATTAATATCTCAGTTGTTTATTATATGTTGCATATGGGAAATAAATTGTTCTACCTATTTTGGTAACTCACTTTAAAGTGGCATTGATAGTTGATTATGTGGTGCATAATAATAATAAAAAATAATAATTAATTTCAGTTATTTATCATTTATGTGCCGAGTCAACAGCTTCAAAGCCAATTAATTACACACAGAGTACAGAGTAGATACAAGTAATTGCATTATGGAAGAACACAACATAAAGTCAAAGACAAATTGCAGGCAAACACGGGAGAAAACACCATCAATGAATAAAAGTAAACACACAAAGTAACATTAATAATAATAATAATAATTTTATTACACAAATCTAAGTTGTCACTGATAATTGAGAAATGTAAAGAGATAACAATAATTCAATTCAATTCTTTATTATTTATGTGCCGAGTCAACAGCCGCAAGGCCAATTACAGACAGAGTACAGGGTAGATACGTGTACAAGTAATTACATTATGGACAAACACAACATAAAGTCAAAAACAAATTACATGCAAGCATTGAAGGAAAGCACAATAATGCAGACAAGTAAACAAACAAACAACAATAATAATAGTAATAATTTAATTAACATAAATCAATAATGCAGCCAAACAAACAAATGATAATAATAGCAATAATAATTTCATTAACATAAATCTAAGTGTTATTGAGAACTGAGAAATGAAAAGTATAGATTTTGAGAGAGTATAATAATAAGTCAGTTTAATTGTTGCTTATTGAACATGCAAACAATAATACTAACAATTATACTATATAATAATAATAATAATAATAATAATAATCCAATTCAGTTCTTGTGTATATACGTGCAAACGTAACAGCTCAATGGCCAATTACAAAGTTAGCACTAGTACCTGAGAGGACAGAAAATAACTAACAAGCAGAATACGAACTAAGGCAATCTATATAGTAGTAATAAATTAACGATAATGAAGAAGGCAGGCTTCTGGGATGTGGCGCCGTGTAGATATTGTGTTAACCGACGTTTCGGAGGAACGTATCGCCTCCACCTTCAGGATAGAAGACAAGAAGAAATCCGCGAGCGAACTAGCGTGAGCAGGTGCAACAGTCTACACGGCGCCACATCCCAGAAGACTGATTTCTTCATAGTCACCGCCGTGAAAACCTCAATTCTTACAATTAATGATAATTGCATGAAAGTTTAAAGTTATAATAATAATAATAATAGTGGTACATAAAATACAATAGCTAAGAGTAATCTTCACGAAACCTCTTCACGTGCCACATGAAGGCATTGCATTCACCAAACACAGAAAGTCTGCGCTTCCATATGAAGAAGTACAGCATCACACTAAACATTACAAGGCATTGTATTCTCATAAATTGAAACTAACGCTTCTGTGCACTATATATATTTTAACCTAAAGGTGAATTGTCACATGATGTTGCAAAGATGTTTCATTGGATGCTAAAGTAGCGATGGAATTTAAGTATTTAATATATTGATTTCAACGTGATTCTTATAAACTTGTTAATGCTGGGAAGAAAGTCACTTGCTGTAATATGTATGATATTCCTATGAGAGGACTTGATCTTTTAAAATTTCTTTTTAATTTTTATGTAGGAAAATTCTGGGACACTAATACGAGATTCGAACACTGTCCATCCGCAGAATAGGCTTGGCATTGCTCTGCCTACAACAGGTCCTTTTCTCTAAACTTTACAAATATGTATCATTCCGTTATTTGCGACTGAGGGTTGCATTTTCGTTCTTGGATGTGGAGTCCTTATATAATACTGGTACATATTCTAAACAAAACCACTTTCCTCTATTAGCCATAGAGTCACCGAGGGCGGGGGACTTTGTGAGTCTTCATTTTTTTTATAAATTATATAGAGTTATTTTGCCAACTTATCGGATAGAGGGTGTCGCGTGGTCAGTGCAACGAATCACCACGGCCGTTAAACTTGACACTAACTTCGCTGACAG